CTTTTTTTTTTTTTTAACCATTTGCTTGAAACTCGTAACAGATGTACCATTTTCACAGGCTAACCACAAAGCGTACTTTTTTTAGAATCCCTGGACATAGGATTTTTTGCTCTCAATTAATAAATCTAACAGATAGATCTAACAAATATGACGGATAAGTTATTCGATTGTACTTTAACATAATCTGCAGCTCTACGGACAAACAAAACTAATAAAATAACTTTAACTTGACATTTTAATATGTTCAGCACCTGTATATTGTACAGTGTTACATTGTAGATTACTATTATGAATTATTCACACAGCTATGGACATTTTTAATCCTACATCATAGAGACAGCTTTGGCTCACCTTTTTTGGTTCGGGACCATGAAGAACTTAGACACCCTTCACTGTCAGAGGAAGGGGAGCCTGGACCAGAGGAGATGGAGTGCGTTGGGGACGACGCCACATCAGAGATGGGAGAATGAGACCCACCATAGAAACAGGCCAGGTTCATGGGGCTGCTCATCATATAGTCTTGTTCTAGGAAGTCCAGAGAGTCCTCGATAACCTGCTCCACGATCATGACTGCTATCCGATAACTAGACTCTAGTGTGTACCTCTGCTTTAATGGCACAAGTGCTGCTACTAAGCAGCTTGTCAGTAAGTTTGATCACAATTACAGTGGGGAAATTCCACACAGTTATGTATGACAGATGACAGCAGCACACACCCCCACCTTCCGGGAACTAACCAATAAGCGTTAAGCATCCCCCTTGCCCATTGGCTGCTACTGTGGAATCAGCAGGGGGGGGTGAGTGGCTGGGGCGGGATTTACCGGAATCGCACAATAGAAAATTGCGAAATATCACCCAGTTGTCAGTCTGACATGCTTCTGAAAGTCATGAGAAGGAAGGCGTGGATGTGTAATGCTTGTCGTGTTCTCTCTCTGGCTTTGCTTTAGCAGGCAGCTAGAAAAATTCTACATAAAGCGGCTTAGGAAGCTGTCAGACCAGACATGGTTTTCTGTACTCTGCAGCAACTCTGCAGCCCACTGATCACCAGAGGAGGAAGGGGAGGGGAGGCGAGGGAGATATGACTAATGTCAGAATAACTAGAAAATGTTCCCTTAGCAAATGGATCTGTGTTTACTTCAATCACAAGATGTCATATATTGCAGCTTACCAGTCCTTAGATGTGGTGGCTGCATTCACTTTTACATTTTCTGGCTTTTTGCTTTTCTTTTATTATCATTAAGGATGTGCGGGGGATTTATGTGAACCCAGTGCATTTGTATAAAGAGTTCCGCCACCAGCCTGTGTAAAATGGTCACTGAAGCACCTCCTGCCAAGACAATCAGTTGTAGCCCCCGCAACAACTGATTGGGACAGGAGGGGGGGTGTCAGGCACAGTTTTTCGCAGGCTTGGGCAAACTCAGGCGAACTGGGTTAACACCAAACCCCCCGCACAGCCTTAATTATTACCTGATGATCCTGACAGTAACTCACTTCCTATGCTAAGGGGACAACATTCACTCACCGTACTGTATTTATGGAGGAGCAGTACTGTCACCCTGGGCTGCACTCCTGATTTGGACTACAAATCCTCATATTTATTCCAAAAAGGCAAAAGGGGTTGTGTAGTTACCAGAAGATAGCTTAGAGCATTGTTACAGTTTGCAGTTTAGTACACAGGAAGTGATAAGGACACTGCTTTGGTAGGATCAACAGGTATTTTCTGTACTTGTAGAAAATCTAGAAAATAAAAGAATAATGCAGCCACCACATCTAAGCATCAGAAAGCTTTAATATTTTTGTTTCATGTGTCTTTAAATTCCCTGGAAATGACTAGGTATTCGAAGTGAAAAAAGCTCCGATTTACCAGGTGAACATTCTATATATCTTTAGAAAATCAACTCCTGTGAATTCTGGAAATTGTGGCAGTGCTCAGTAAACAGAACCACTAATATCTGGACTATAAAGGAAGCTATAGTAATATGGAAGTTACCATTTCTTATTTGGCAGATTCCCATATGGCTGCACCACAAAAGACATCAGAGGTGCCATTTCAGAGGTCCAACCTTAAAGGATCCATAAAAGACACTAGAGCAGGTGATATAATACATTTACAAAAACCTTCAGATTCCTAGAATGGTTAGGGGCCCTAAAGTGAGTACCTGTTGAAGAAGTAACTTTTCAGGCCTTCGTTTTCTTAAAAAGTTTTTGGGGTGACATTCACTGCAGGTGTATCTTCCTGGTAACTGTGTTTTAAAGATGAGGAGAGTAAATTATAAGCAGGGTATTCATGGTACAATTTTTGTCTGGTTCTTGGTGAACCAGCCAAAATGTGCACACTGGGTGCCACTGTCGACACCTTGCTGCCCAGCATTCCTCGATCAACTGATCAACAAGGCAGGTTGGAAAATTATCGGTTGAACAGAGCTGGCAGCCAATCAGCTGCTAGGTTCGCTCGGGTATTCTGGTAGCAGCCAAACGGCAGAATACAATGCAAACAGCAGGGGATTCCTCCATCCATGCTTGTAAGCGTTAATAGAGGAGTCTGTATTATTTTCTTTGTTCAGCCCGCATGTTGAATGAAGAAAATATATACGTATATACCCAGCTTAACTCTCCCCTTATGCATAGAGCAAGATCTAACATTGATAGCTGACTGATCATGTGACTGCAGATCAGTCAGCTCTTGGTCACCACACACCGGAAGGATTCCCCCCTACCCTCTTAGTTCCTCCAGCTGCAGCTACAGGCAGGGGAGGGGGCAGGCGCTGTTGGCTGTGGTTCTCAGCCACGGTTAGATAGGCAGAGTCATCTGTCAATTAGGCAGCCGGGGTGGATCCCAACAATACTGTTGTGATCCTTCTCGAATACGGCGTGGCTGTGCCTTGTCAGCTGATGGTGGGCATAACCAAAAGAGACACCATTTTGTAAAGGACAAAAACAGTGAAAAGAGCCACCACAACAGACCAACTGAGCCTATTTACAATATATAACATTCTTCCTTTTTTGTTACAATCCACAAAGTTTGCATAGGTAATAAACCTTGCAGCGTGCTCAGATACCCAAATTTCAAAACATGTTGAAAACGTTGCCAGCCATTGGCATGCTTTTAAATCAGCCTACTATCAGCTGACTGTGGGTGACAGGAGTACATTAGTCTAGCCAAAAATTAGATTTACATTACTTCTCTTTTAAAATACATTGATTCACCTGCATTGAATGTTTGCTGAATGTTACACTCACTGCTTTATAAATATGACCATTTGTGTTTGCAGAGATAACATCTCTGTGTCCAAAGAGCATAAACTTCCAAAGTGTTGGAATATACACACCTCTCTCCCTCACACGGCCAAAGTACACTGATTGCTGCACAGCCCTGTGTCATTTCAATGCTCTGCACATTTAAATAGAAAATAAAACAAAGAAAAATACAGTTGTTACTTGGTAAAGCAATGAAGAAGTGCTGCATTTTTGTACCAGCTGGAACTTTCCACCGAGCAGCCACTGGTTCCTTCTCTATAAGCAGCCATTGCTTTGTTTACACTTTTCCTCAGTCTCTTGTTGTGTCACTGAGGAAGCTACCATGGCTCCCCAACCGCCCTCATGGGTGTATGCACAGGATCACTCAGCAGAATCACATACATCAAAATGCACAATCGGCTGGGTGCTGCTGACATCATAAACAAGATGGCAGCAGCTAGAAGTGTTTTCTGCCTCACATAGAAGGATGTGTCTTTAAGGCAACTGAAGACGACAATAATTGAGTACCAAATTGGCAATATAAGCAAACCAGAGAAAGACAGGTTCAACAGAAACACTGGATACAAATTACTTCCCTTTATTGATAAAACTGGAAACTGTGTGGATTACCATTACTGGCTGATGACTGGCTATGCTTGTGGATCGTGAGGCTGTTTATAAGACATCTCTACTTTGTACATTTTCAGACACAATGCATGACATTGAATAACGCATGAAATAAAAAATGATTTCAGCTCATGAGCACCCATGCCGCTCATCTTATGTAACATACTCACTATTAGCCGGCTAAGGACCTTGTTACCCCGCTTCCATACAGAGCAATGTTGTTCTGAACACAGTCACCAGTAATGATCACCACTGTCTGGTACCGGTACCATCTGGTGTGACTAATGAATGCAGGGGCGTTTGCGGTGTGGTGGCTGTTTGTTATTTTAAAATTCACTTTTGGGATGGTATTTTACAAAGTTTCCAATTGTATCAATAAAGGAAAGACATTTGTATCCAGTGTTTCTGATGAACCTTTCCTTTTCTGGTTTGCTTATGCTAGTTCTGGTTAGAAACATTGGACGATTCCCACAAATAGAGTAAACTTTAATTCCACTATCTCTTAGGTTTTTATCAATTTCTATGAGGGTGGATGTTGGTGCCCACCTAAAATCTAATTTCAGGGTTGTTTTAAAATAAGTGGGGGAAGAATTAAAACCTGCCAGGCTTTTATTGTTCTCTGTGTCCATCTTGGGGAGATTTCCCCTAACTTTCTGTCCTGATGACTACCTGTTTCCTTTTTAGTAAGTGAGGAGAAATCTCCCAACAGAGATATAAAAAAGGACAAAATTCCACAACAACATATATTTATTTCTCTCATCAGAAGAGGAAATTACCCCCGAGTTCCTGCCACAGTTACCACCTATTACCAGGATAGGAAGTGGTGGAAAATCTCTCCAGTGAGGGCACAGACAGCAAAATGGTTCTAAATATTTTCTACGTATTTAAGTTCTACTTGATGCAAGGTTAAAGGGCCTCCATGAGGCCCTTACTTAAAGGAGGTGAGTGCTTTTCACTCACCTCATAGTTCTAGCCGACCTGTGACAATGAGACTGTCACAGGTCGGCTCAGTAGATTGGGAGGTGAGCGAACACATACCGGGTTCGCTCACCTCTCGATCCTGTCACGGCTCTCTGCCGTGACAGGGGAGGGGCTGGATTCCCCTCTCCCCAATCCGATGGAGAACTATGGGGAAAAGCCCTGACCCCATAGTTCTCCTTTAAAACCTTTCCTTTTTGTTATTTCTCATATCTACACATACTTGTAACAGAAAGTATGCTAAGTGGAGCAGTAACATAATCACATAATTATCAGTCACATAAACAAAGAGCAGAGTTACAAAGGAAGGGGTACTGGGCCAGCTAATAGCCAAATGAGGCTTTTCCATGGGTTCCATGCTGTTGCTATATTATTGCCTCCACAGTCAAATGACGGAGCAGAACATAACCTGACCTTATATGTATTTCCATTTGAAACTGATGTGAAACATGTGGACTCTGATGCAAAAGAGGGGGACTCTAACGTGAAAGAAGGGGGCTCCTAATGTGAAGGGGGACTCTGATGTAAAGGAGGGAACCCCACTTTTTGTGATTTTTTTTTATATGGGGTCTACCCTAAAATCCATACAAGACCACTATCTGGAATAAGGGTCTGGTATAGATTTTGGAGAGACCACATGTAATGTTTTACATTTTTGTGTTTTACATTTTAGTCTGGGGTTCCTTGAGGTTTTTTATACTTTTAAAGGGAGTCGGGATTGAAAAATGGTTGGAAAATGCTGTGTTAGGATATAAAGATTTTCTGTGACAAAGGTGACAAATTATCCAGTGCTTTAACATGGTATGATGC